TGTATATTTTGTATTTAGAGAATGAGTTTGGAGTTTGTCGAAGGAATTGAAATTCTGCTATTAATACATTTTGTAAGTTGATTCAAAAACTAAATTGTTATCTTCTCAATTTGGTGACTTGCTATAGGTAATTTGTCTGGACACAGACAAAATAAATGAACACATAGACAACTATTGTCAATGCACAGACAAAATAAATGAATAAACAAAAAATACGTTAACCATTCACAGACAATATAAGTGAAGAAATAAACCACTCCATCCACCCTTAAAACTTTATCATGTTTGACCGACACGTGGATTAATAAAGTAAAATCTGTGTGGTTGAGGTTTGTACAAAGGAGATGGAATTAACTGAAACCATAAGTTCTTTACTTAAAAGAGAAAGTGACAAAGTTAATGAGACATCCAAAAAAGAGAAGTTGCCAAAGTTTTAAAGGATGAAGGGAATATGATTCAACTAGGTACAGACAAAATAAATGTACACATAGAATAAATGAAAATACAGGCAATGGTTTAACCACACACAAACAATATAAATGAAAATGTAGACAATGCTTCAAATTCATATATACAAAATAAACAAACACCTAGATAGTGCTTCAACCGCACTCGGACAATAAGATGATTCATAACCATGCTCAAGTAACTCATATGGACATTTCATATATAAATACCAAATACACATCGATAGAAACTAACTTTCAAGTTTATACAAGTATTAAAGGTCGGAAATGGCTTTCACATGAAGCGGCTTGCTAGCTACAATTTAGCATAAAACTCCATTTATGTTTTGTTAGACCGGTTAGTAGTACTCCCAACTCTAGGAATGCCAATATTATCTTTTTTGGACTCTGAGTCAACTATGAAGGACTGCACCCGAGCTGTCCACCCGCGACATAGCTTTCACCTCATTTAGGGGTGCACATGCTCATTAAACCTCCAGAAGAAGTGAAAAAGCATCCTGGATATGAAAGCAATAAATCACATCTTAGTATTCCATTCTAAATAACATAGATTAAAATGTCATATAGTGTAAGAACCATCTCCACAAACACAGAAGTGCAATTGTATATTAATAACGGTCAATTATCAAGCATGATTGAGCGTCAATTTCATAACGACATATCATGCAAATGAATGTGTGAATAAAGAAACACTCTTAAATTTACTACTACATGACCAAGCACTAGTATGGCCTCATGAATCATAATACTTCGTTTAATGCTAAGCACTTGCTGTGTAAGATACTACTCCTGATTTTCTGCTATCCAATTATGAAAAGGGCAAACAAATATAACCTGATTATGACCTATGTAGATAAAGAAAATTAATTATTTGGTTGGCATGCTTCTTTTTTGACACCAAATTTGGGCCAAATCCAGCACCAACTCTTATAAACATATGCAAATACACATACAAGTATAAAAAAACCACAAGATAAAAGTAATAAAAGGAAATTTTCATTAAATATCAAGTAATAAATTATATGAATGAAATATTAAACTAGTGGGAAATTCTCACACATTCATACTATTTAATACAGATTTAAGCAAAACAACAACAAAAAGTGATACTACAAAAAATGTATAGTGACCAGGAGAAAAAAGATAAAACAGACCCAACTGTTGCGGCTAGTGTTTCAAACTAAGCCAAAAAGAAGATATTTTGTGACTAGCACAGTTTCAGCATATGTAATTCTAGTTTCACTACAATGAACCAAACAACAACTATTGTCTCACAATGCTACTAGCCTAGCTACTTGTAAAAGAGCATAAATCAACAGAAGTCTGAATAGTTGAAATGCAATGGCTACTCTGCTACCATGTATATTTCATATAGAAACAAATGCAATTTCCGTCATAACAAATGAAACAAGAATAAGCCTTTCAGATAAACTTTTAGGGCAAAAAAATGACTTCTATGAATGCAAAAAAAAATAACTTGAACACATGAAGATCATTTAACTCGTTGAACAAAATAAAATTCACCAAATTGTGTTTAGAAAGTTCTTCACAAGAACAAAATATAATTTATTAAAGCCCTTTCCCCTTATTCCCCACACATAAGTAAAATACTTATGGAAAGTGACTAAATGTACGTACCTATGTAATTGTGAGTCCAATCGAGAAGCACCCCACAATTATGGGCGCATTAATCGGAAATTCTTGTTCGAGCGGAAGAAATCGACCGTCATCCTCGGCGTCTCCATAGATTCCAGCTGCAACCACACCGTTTTGGTTAGACTCGGACTTGAGGACGGACTCCACTCTAACTCTGAAGGCGTTGGACTGGATTCCAGCTTGAAGACAATTGACGATGGAAAAGATCTTGACCGAATTAGGGATTTGGGAAGGGAGAGAAACGAAAGGGGAAATGAGAAGAAGAAGGGTGCGTCAAATGAAGAGAGAGGGGAAAGGGCAGATGGTGAAATCTTAGAGAAAGGGGGAAATGAGGGTAATTTTTTTAAGGATATATATAGTGGGTATAGAGTGTGTATAAATATGTGTACAAAGAGCAATTTTGTTCTAAAAAAACTAAACAACACCTGCAGTCTGCCAATCTAGCTACAAAATCGAACTAATCATGGACAACACCTGCAGTCTGCCAATCTAGAGAATAAATCATTGCAGAAGCTCTCTTGGAAGGACGGGTGTAGACTGTAGAGCAACACAGATGTAGAAAGAGATTTGATGATGTGGTTTACCAATTTTATTTTCTTACTAGAGGAACACAGGAGGAAAAAACGAGTTTAATTCATTGCCGGCAAGATTTTTGGTTGTCGTATGTAATTCGGTGTATTTATTCTCCCGTATTAAGGGATGTAAACTAGTTTACTACCCTCCCACCACGTAAAGTATTTTACATGATACAGTGTAAAATGGTTTTTAAAAAGTGTCCTACAGTTTACATTAAACAGTTAAAACAAACCGTGTAAAGTGTTTACTTTACATCATAACAAACGGGCCCTTAGTAAAAAATGGACTGTGAATAGAATACCCTATTCTTAATTCAACTAGACATTTTAAATGATCCAAAATTTATTTACTAATTTTATCCAAGGGATCCATATTAATATTTTTCTTTTGATAAGGCCCGACAACCATCAAGAGCAGCCTAATAGAATTCATTGCTGGCTTAATATATACTCCATCCGTTCTTTAATATTAGTCCTCCTAGGCTTTTGCACGGGTTTTAAGAGGAAAATAGTAGGGGTAGTGTAAAAGGTGTAATGAGTAGTGGGTAAATGAAAAAGTAGGAAAGAGAAAGGGGTAATGGTAATAAAAGTTGGAGTATAAAGGTATATTTAGAGTAAAAACTTTCCTTAAATGGAAAGGAGGATAGATAAAAAAACGTCCCAAAAAGGAAAGAAGGGCTAATAAAAAAGAACGGAGGTAGTAGCATTCAAAGAGGCCCAAATAAGACGAATAATAGTTTGGTAGCCTTTAAAAGAGCTCCATGATAATTATGACCCGTAATGCTTGATTTGAAAGTCCAATTGATTTGTGAACAAAAGGCCAGTTAATTTTAAATATCCACAATGAGTTTGAATATGAGCCAGTTATTCAAAATGAAGGGAAGCAAGTTAAACGATGAAAGTATTTTAAAAGCATCTAGAAATTATTAGAGAAAGAAAGAAAAATAATTATTTTAATGGCTGGATTTTTGTTGGATCTTTTACGTGTATGTATTAGTGTTTTTAATTACAAGTATGTGGTACAAAGCAAGTAATCAAAGAAAGAAGGTAAAGTATGTCAGGTTGCACTCGATTAGGACACACTTACCGAACCCGAACCCATATCCTCTAGTTCTAAGATGAAAGTTTACAGAGAAAGCAGAGAGTGTCTAAGCTATTAAAATGTAACTTTGTCAAGTATTTACTATGAAATAAATGTGAATACTTATATTGGAAGCCAGTAGGTGGGGGAGGTGACGTGGCGAGTCCCAATTTGCTAAGCCCCAATCATAAAATCCTCTATATATGGTGCATTAAATATTTTATCCTGGAAAATTGTGATTTCCTGCCTATGCATTGATGAAGAGGAGCCTGTTGCGAGAAAGCCAGAGAAAGTACTAAGTGTCACGTCTCATCTGGGGGTCCTGTCCGAGATGGGTATCCCGCTCAGGCCTGATCTCGTGCCGAGCGTGTACGAAGGATCCCTCGTACCACAACATAGTAAGAGAATCGAAGATCCTGATTGGAATACCGCAACAACGTTCATAGCATCTTGGCGGTATTTGGGCTAGTTTTTAGGCCCAATACCCCAAGTCCCCAACACACCTATCACAATATTCACATATGGACTTTACACGGTAAGAGAATCGGAGATCCTGATAGGAGATGCTCTAAGGATGACATGGATGTGTGACATCTCTACAATTGAAGGATAAATAATAACCACATCGATAAGGGTTTAGGCAACGTGAATCAAATTGGACAAATGAAGGAATTGCATATTTGAACGGTTTGGGTGATCAATTTTTGGTACGAGGAATTAATTGACATATTTGAGATACTATGAGTATATGAAAACCTATTTGACTCAACTTTTTACTATTTCAAGGAAATTTGTCAATCCAGGACTTGAAAGATGAGTCAATTATCGAATGATTAAAAACTATCAATCTAAGACCTAAAATATCATAGATTTTGATCTATATTTTTTTATTAATTCCGTAGCTAATTTTTGATGATTTTTTCTTCATAAAAGTTTATTAGTTTTATGAGATTTAATAATATTTCATTCTTTAAAATAAAAGATATTAAAATTCATGAAATTTGAAGTCTCAAATTGATACTAGGTAGTTTTCAATCATTCGAACTCTATATCAATACACATTATCTTTCAAATCCCCTATTGAAAGCGGACTTATCTTTTAGGTCCAATATTAATAAAATTCCTTGTATCAATAATCAACACACAATATATAAAGCTTTTTCTAGGAATCGGTTTGGAACATTTTCCGGTACTGATTCTGGTACAGAAATGAAAAAAATCGACCCTCTGACCAGCCCGGGTTCCAGCACATTGTCCAAAGAAGCCGGCCCACGAATCCTTTATCATCCGAGGTATGTAAATTACATAAAAGACCCATTGAATAATAATTTATCAAGAGCTCTACATGTATCTTATTCATAATAAATAAAATATACATGGAAGTTGAAATCCTACAAAGGATATGAACTCACAAAGATCTCAAGTGCTCTACAATCCTAACGATCTTGAGACCTTGCTATTACATATATATGCCCCCCACGGCCCACCAAAAAAGAATCAATAATTTAGGTTAATGAAGCACTACTGCATATCATCATGTTAATTGAATGTGAATTCAATTGCCAAAAAGATAAAGTTTGTTATTTTATGTAGTAAGCCCAAGATTTCCATACAGTCAAAGCTTTACTTGGCCTGCTATGTGGGTGGAAAGAATCTGTTGAGGTTAAAGGGCAGAGTGTAGAATTCCTCATTCCGATTATCGCCTCTGAATGTTCTGAACTTCACCCACCATGGCATGCCTCTGTCTTTCTTCGACTTTTCCACGTCCAAAGTGTTGTCCAAAAACACCGCAACGATTAACCCCACTGTTGGCGGTGAGGAGAATATAGTGTTGATAAATGCATTGAACTGCGAGAAACAACGGCAAGGTAAAAATTGTTTCTTTCAGTCCTATTTAGGGAATTTTCTGTAGTAATATTCTTATGACTTGAGAATGAACTGTACCCATCCAGCATTGGTGTGAACAAGGCCGTGGCGGGCCCCGGACCAATATTGGTCGAAAAACTGAGGAATGGATATCCCAAGGAATAGCGAGAGGCCCGTTATGAACAGATTACGCATGCAATTCATGTTTGTAAACTGAAGGAATGACAGGCCGACCGAACCTGCACCAGATTGAATCACACGTTTAGAATGTGACCGAAGTGTAATATGAATGTATAACAATGGTCGGATCAGTGGAGAACCACAAAGTCAGGTGCCAATTATGCACATTGAGGGCTCGTTTGTTAGTGCAGATTAAAAGTTTACATCTAATTACTGCAAGCAAACTTTAGGAAAGTAATTACTTTGAATATACACTAAAAACACATTGTTTGGTTAGGTGTATGAGTTATTTTTAAATTGCATGTCAAGTAGTTGCACTACTTTACAAAAAGCATGTAAAGTTTTTTACTATTCGATAATTTACGTGGTACAATGTGAAATGTTTTAACTTCTCTTACATTATACATTAAATGATCAAACAAAACAATATAAATTAGTTATATCACTGCATTTCGCATGTAAAATAATCACTTTGCATCTTACCAACACATCCATGATAGTTCACCACTCATATGCTCATATAGTTGTGGGGGCATGCAACATAAAAGTTCCACTTATTTATGAAATTGCCATCATGTTTTTCTTTTTGACTTGCACACTTAATTCATCATCAATGACTATTTAGTTATTATTATATTAAGAGAAATAATTTTCTAGATTGTATAGCTTAGTGAAAGTATCACATATTAATGAAATTGCAACAATGCCATCTGTTTCATTTCATCAACAATCCTAAGTCGTCCTTAATGTCTCCTAAACTAATGATTCTCATATGATCCGCCACCAATGTATAAAATTTAATAAACATAAGAGAATGAGAGAGAGGAGAAACTAGAAAGAATTGGTTAATACTCTCCATCCCTTAAAGAAATTCATGGTTTGCCCTTTACGGAGTTTTAGAAAATTGTTTATTTCTTTGATTTCCTGAAATGCTCTTTCAAGGAGGGGAGGAATATTTAAATAATATTTTCATAATTCAAATATTTTGCCGTAACTTCTACAATTTCAGCATATTATTAGTCTTAACAAATGAGCTCGTAAAATAAATAAAACAGCATACCTACAAGGCCAAAGAGGACACAGTAGAATGCTGCATATATGACAAAAGGTATAGATGCAAAAACAGCTCCAAATTTGCCTGCAAGAATTGTAATTAACATTATTGTCTTGTCTTGTTTAGAGAACCAAGCATTCAAGCTAATGAGTAATACATACATATGCATAAGTATAAGAAGCAATGCGTACAAACCTAACATGGAGAAGAATATCATGAAGCCTGCAGAAACCTGAACAACTCTTCGGCTTCCAACCCGAGTAAGTCCTAAGAGTCCCACATTTTCCCTGGAATAAATAATTGGGAAATGTAAAGTTAAGCTATAAAAAGCTTCATTTATCTAAAAAAAATCTAATTAAGCTGAATATCAAAATTTAAATAATTGGATGGCTCTCGAGGATCTTGATCTTACACAGATACAGTGGACCCAGTGCCTGTTCCAAAAAGGCCATCAAGCAAAACACCTACCCCCTGCAAAGATATATAGATATATTAAAATGTTGGTTCCATCCAACATTGTAAAGCTCAAAATCATTTACTTGTGCAATATGGAATGATTTAATATTTAGTTATTTACAGAAATTTAAAAAGTTTATTATATAATGATCGGAAAATGTAACAATAAGCAGATATTGAGATGAGGTCACCTGCCAACCGATCCCACGACTAAGTACATAGGCTGGAGGTGGAGTGGCGATCGCCAGACGAGATGCAGCCTGGTATGCACCAGTTGACTGCACAGAGTAGTTAAGTCAAATGTACATTTTGTGTGACAACATTCAAGATTGGTTTGGGTCAATGAATTGGATCACAATGCCCTTGGGTCAAACCAGACTACAAGATTGAATCCAACAGATAAGCTAGTTTATCCAAAGTTGTTATAAACAAAACCATATGTTACTCTTTATGATGCTGGCACAAGACTCTTTACACGATTTAAAACTAAATAAATTACTATATGCATGTTGCAGTGTCGTTCACTCGGCACGATTAAAAACAGGTTAAAAATTTTGGATGTAAACAAATTTAAAATGCCAAAAATGGAGAAATTACCTCGACCATTGACACTAGAACAGCAGACATCATTGCAAATGAATGGCCTGCAGCAAAAGTGGGAGCACCCCATTGCAACGGATACGGGAACTTGAACCTGATATGATAATTAGCTAAAAGGTTAGTACTCCGTATTATTTATACACATTGAGAAAATTACCATCAAACCAAATACGTCAAACAGACCATGGAGCAGTAGATATGATATTTGCTCTATCTGTACGGCAACTGAGTTGAGTGTGAAGAGGCTTGCCTCGGTATGCTCCACCAGCTGTCAGAATGGTGGAATATATCCACATAATTGTGACACATATCAATATAGGAAACCGTTCGAATACGGGGAAGTCCCTCACTGGTTTTACATGCTTTAGATACTGCAATTTAAGAAACATAAATATTACCACTAATGTGAACGCCCCTTTTTAATTTTTAAACATTGTTTGGAAAAGTTGCAATATTCCATCATTTTCAATGAAGCCAAAGACTCACTATTTTTTGGCTTGAGAATATGATGGAATAAAGCAAAATGTCTCACTAAAGTGTCTGCGCTTCTTTGTTATGAAGTAGCAGTCAGTCTATGCAATTTTCGATGCGATTTTCACTATGGGTCATTCGGAAGCAGTCTCTCTGTGCTTTAGTACAAGGGTAAGACTGCGTACATCCGACCCTCCTTACCCCACCATAGGTGGTAGCCTTTGAGGCACTGGGGTAATGATGATGATGTTTGGAAAAGTTGCAATGATCGTTAGTTCAAATTAGTGGAACCACACTTACCTGTGACAAACCAATTACCAATAACAGCGTTGGCAGCCCTATCTCGACACAATTCCCTAGCTGCAAGAAAATGGATCCAAACAACACATTGGAGACCGGATACTCATCAGTTAAGAAACACTCTGACCTAACTTAACCCTAAAAGAGACTACATGGTTTTTTAACAACACCATAGTGCCACTTCTCCCCAAGAATCCATTATACTTTGTGTAAATATAAAAGTAAAAGAGCTTTCAAATACATGAGCTTTCAAATACTTTGGTTTTACATAGACTGCTAGAAAGACGATGAGTTGATATGTGTATAACTTATTAAGACTTGGGATTTATTCTAAAGGTCAACCTAATACTGCTAATAGGAGTAGATCAAGGTCTGTGAGTTCGTAGTATGTATTTTTCGGTGTCGGATGACTTAAGATTTCATGGCCGCATATAGCCAATAGTTGAAAACCGAACCTCATTGCCCTAGACGGAAAGGTTCCGCATGCTTTGGCTCTTATATGTTGTTGGACGAATTTAAATTTAAACATACCGCAGGAAATCCTCTCTGGAATAGGCCAAGGCCAACTAATCCAACAACAGGTGCAACACCAAGAGGACTGAAGAAACTGAAAATTAAATAAATTTGCACTCTCAGTAATATCAATGTCAAGTGTATGCATGGAAACTTGATCACTGTGATGATAACATACCGCGAAAGGAGACCCCAAACTTGGCTGTAGCCAAGGATGATTTGAATGCTTGCAGCGACTATCATTGCTCCTTGAATTGCCTTCATGGTTTGTATAAATCTCTGCAGTGCACTTAACCGTAAGTAAAAGATCACGGGACGCCTTTTATGAAAAACCCAAACGATCGCCATTGATCGAAGTAAATATGCTTATTTAAATTGGACTTACTATATGAGGTTCACTTATTCGTTGAAGGGACGAGTCACTGATAATATATATTATGGGGATGGCATATGCAAACGATCCTCCAACAACGGCGGGCAATCGGGTCCCGAAGAGTGCTTGCAGAAGAGTGTTTATTCCCGCCACAAAAAGCAACGTCTGTATCACGCGTGCCTTGTCCCCCTTAGGAATTTAAACATTAAAATATGGAATGAACGATTTTTTTTTTGCAAAAACTAAACTCAAACTTAGGGTTCCATTTGAGCAATCTTACATCGGATCCACCCATGAGTGGTACAAGCGTTGTAGGGATCACCACACTCGTCCCAAGGACTAATATGTAATTTTGAAATGCTAACATTATGGTTTCAGCTGCAACAGATAAAAATCCATATATAACATCAAGAACACGTGTGAGAGCCATTGTAGCATTGTTAAGAGAAAAACATAGAAAATTTTCCAGTTGAGTCATATATGTTAGGTACTACAAGAAAAGCTGGTAGGGAACACACTCTATGTAATTGAGAGCCCACTATTCTCATAATCCTCACCTAACCTACCTAAGCACAACTAGATCCTGTTTAATCCTTTCTTGAGACCCTCTAGAGCATTTTAAACCACTGATCGTGTGATCATTTAGACCTTTGATCATAAGCCATCGGTCCATCAAGGCCACAAGAAGCTTTTCAAAGTTTCAAAATTTAACTCTTCCAAAAATAAAAATAAAAAGTTTCAAAATTTAACCAATCTTTATATCACAAAAGCATAACTTTCACATTAGCCAGAGAAACATGTAAAAAATAAATGAAAGGCAAATCGGGATGACTTCCTACATTCCCACTCTCAAGCACCCGAGAATTTATAATCTTTAATTTTAAATTTTAGTTTTAAAAAATATATATGTGCCACATTCTACAAATTGGTTTCAGAAAAATCGAATCTTTGAAGCTCAATCGTATGCCCACTGTGCTAAAATTCACATAGAACACGGAAACAGAATGCCATGCATCAATAAAGATTCCAGAAGAAGTAAAACCATTTGGGAAAAATCAGATTTTCTTTATCTTTTTTCAACGAAGAATGCCTTAAATAAATGATTGGGAATAGAAGAGAGCTAACTCTGACATCAAGTGACCCACAAATGGAAAGCAGTGACAGAAAACAAAATGTATACATCCAGAGAGAGGGGGGAGGGAGAGGGAGTACGCCATGGAGGATTGGAGTCTATGCAGTACTCAAGGTCTTGGAGTTGCTCCATGGGAGGGTGAGCAATATCTGCCATTGACATTGTTGAGGTGGCCAGATGGTTCACCACTATAAACTATTCCTCTTCCACTGTCTTCTTCACACACAAAAAGAATCAAAAACGGAAGAAAGAAGGAAGGGTAATCCAAAAAAGAAAGGGGCCGAATATTTTTTTGACAATAAGCTAATAAAAACAATGAGAAAGAGATAGGGTGGCCGGGTGGGGTTGGGGTGGGAGGGTGGAAGAAAGCACACAAGGAGAGCAGCAGCCCAGTACTCCAAAACGGGCACCAGATAGAAAAGTTGGAAGGAAAAAAGTAAACGAATTTCTTTATCAATTATTCCCCTTTATTTGAAAGGAATCAATATATGAGTGCTGGGATTAGTTTTGAATTGATTATGATAATATCTTTACTATTATCAGATAGTTGCGCTTCTACTGCTCACCTGGAAAGGATTCGGTTAGGATTTTGAATTTAATTTAACTATCTATATCTATATTATGCATAATAGAAGTGGCTTTGAATGGTTTGCCCTTGGTTCTTAGATTTAATTGCAGATATGCCATCACATTCAAACGATGGTCAGCATTGCAAGGCGGGCCCGGGCCCTATGTTGAGATCTGTTGGAGAAGACTGTTACGGCATATATATACGAAAAAATTGTGACAAACATTTATGAAGTTAAGAACCACTTCTGGTTGTGCCAGCAGCAACAGAAGCGGCCGTAGTTGTGAAGTAGTACGGCTTCTACTCATGTTCTTTCAGTTTCTCGCAAAACATTTTTCAATTTCAATTTTTTTTTCAAATTTTTTTGGTGTGATCTGTTTAAATCTAACACCAAAATCTTCTCTGGTTAAGGCTTGGATGTTGTTTAAATCTAGTTTAGATTTAAATCTAATTTAGATTTGTTAAATATTTATTTCATGTGTATTTTATTACTATTAAAGTGCAGTCTGATTTATTTTATTTTGTTCTAATCTGATTCGGTTTGTTTAAGTATGATGTAATCTAGAAATGAAACTAATTTAATTCAAAATATCTTTATCATCCTTCACCATTCTTCAATGTGATGCACCAGAGTCACAATCACATTATTCTTAACTCTTATGGCGTGTTTGGTTCGACTTAGTCATCTATTCATATCCAAATTTGATGTTCGTAATGTGAAATATCTGTGTTTGATTCGCGGGTTCGAATTTTTTGGGGGAATGTGATATGATAGCACGTAATCTCAAACCCACTTAACTTTTAGGTGGTCTTACAACATTCCTCGGTGGCAATAAATTTTATTCCAAAAGTACCCCTTCTCTCTTAATCATAATGGTTTAAATAGCATACGATAGTATTTATTTTTTATTTTTTTCTTAACCCATCTGTATAGATTTTTGTTTAAAGGAAAGATGATTTCTTTTGGACTGAAATTTGCGGGTTCGTGTCTGTTTAAATCTGACCTGGTCTGGTCGTGGCTGTTTAAGTCTAGTCTAGTCTGGGACTGAAAACAATCAAAAAGAAAACATTCGAACTCATCCGTTTTGGATTAAGAAATACAACATGTATACATTTGAATTTAATTTATTCAAAATTAATTGTCTTTAATAGAAGTAAAATATAGATTATAGAGTAATATATTTTAAATATCCCAAACTTTGAAGGGGTGTGATATAAGTACATCAAACTTGCACATGTAATATATATACCCCAAACTTTATGTAAAAAGTTATGTTAGCACCATGATCATATATTTTTTACAAATACAATTTTAAGGTTTAAGTTCATAAATTAAAATAATAAAACCTTTATGGCGATGCAATTAAAATTAAACTAAACGGATGTAATATTATTTATTTCACAAATGAAATTTTAGAATGTTAACTGCATTCTCACAAAGCTTAGAGTATTTTAAATTATTAAGAAATTGTTTCAATAAATTTGTATATGTAAAGTTCGGAGTATATATATTACATATCCAAATTTGGGGTATTTATCTCACACCTCATTAAAGTTTGGGGTATTTAAATTAGTTTCTCCTAAAACATAACAAGCAACTTTTCCTTAAATATGAGTCAATCTCTAATGTTCCCTAAATATGATCAAACAATAATTTTCTTCTCCTAAATGAATTAATTAATTGTCTCCAAGTTCTCTTGGATAACGGGATCAGTTTGTTAGTAGCGGACATTCTAGTTGTAATAAATAGGGCTGAGGGGAAATACCGAAATTTCGGTATACCGCATTTACCATATCGAAAATAATGAATTTACCGAAATATTAGGTATACCGACATTTTCGGTATGGTATGGTATCGTACAGAATTACTTCGTTGTGGTATCAGTATATGTTTTGAAAATAAAAGGTATACCGGTATACCAAAAGCCCTATTCAATATTTTTTTAAGATTATAAAAATGAATAAATACACAATATCATATTAGGGATATATGATTTTACATTCATATTGTTCGAATAATTTTATTTTATTTTTTGTTAGAGATCACTATTGATTTACTTATATCTATATCGTCTAAGTTATATTAAGAGAATGCGTTGTTTTTTAATATGTGGCATGTTGAACTGCTTAAATATACTAATAATAATTATTGTTCAGCATTGAATATGACATCAATAGATTATTATATGTATCTTGTAACATTTTAATAATGGATTGAGTATGTCGTTAGTAACACCGATTTTGTATATTTTGATGGTATATGATAATTTGTTGTATTGAGAGACATGTCTGGTAATTTACTTATACCGCACCGTTACCGAACCAAAACTTTGGTATACCGAAATACAGTATACTGAAATTTCGGTAAGATAACGGTTTGTACATTTTGTATACCGAAAGTTTTGATATGACATCAAAGGTATGAGAGAAAATATTCGATATACCGTACTGAACTACAACTATTGTATTGTGTTGAGAGAATATATAAGGACATTGAAGTAATTCACCAAGTCTGCAGTATAAGATATCATTTAACCAAACAAATTAATGTCATATTACTTTAATCTTAATCAAATAGACAAATACAAATGGATCGGAATACAAATTGAATACATCTCATCAATCTAAAATATCTAGCAATATGACATTCTCATGATAATCTCACGTTCATTGAATCAAATGGGCCCTTAGATCCTGTTTGATTTTAGACAATCTCATATGAAGGCTAGAATGTGATGCAAGAAATGTTACATGTCCATGTTTGGTACGTGGGGGTGAGAAAAAATTGAAAAAGTTACATTCCTATAAATCTGATGTGGCAGTAATATGGAGGGGAATGTTTAACTCTTTCATGTCTTAGGTTATGTGACATCCTTGGGAGTCGTCGAGTTGGGAGTGTCTTGATTTTCTTCCAATAATACCCCCAATTAATTATTTCTTTTTATTTAATTTCTTTTTGACTTTTTCATCTTCAATTCGATGCTAATTGTTTTCTCACCATATTTTCTCTTCATCTCATGATAATAGACTCGTCCCACTTAAAGGTTTATCTTCCACTATTCTCCGGTCAATGTAGGGTGTTCTTAATATTTTACTGTATGCATCCAACTTTTATCAAATTTGATTTTTTGCGACTTTATAAAAATTTTAATGTAGTTTCTGATTATGTAGAATTTATTTACTAAAAACAATTTAATTATTGACAATGATCAGTTGATTTTGTGGTGAGTCAATATAGTAAATCGCGAGACAACCTTTAAATAAGACGGAGGGATAATGTTTTTTAAATTATATCCATGTGTTTATTCTTGTTATTTTCATAATTATTTTTCCTTAATATCTAAATTTTGAGAAGTATTTATGTTACAGGACTTGTAGCTTATTTAAATTTTTCATAAGTGTGTTTCAAAATTTAATAGCAAAATTGATCATTTTTTAATTGAATTAATTCTACATTTGGTCCTAGGAGTTTTGTGTCAATTCCACCTTCAATCCACGCTTTTCACTTTATTCACCTTTGGTACTTGACTAATGTTTTTTTAATCGTTTGTGGTCCTTTTCCGGCGATTTTAACCATCGGAAACAATGCTGGAAGGACCATATATGGGCGAAAACACAATAGTCATGTATCAAAAGTGGACAAAGTGAAAGATGTGGGCTAAATGTGGAATTGACCTAATACTAATAGGACCAAAATTGGAATTTATTCTTTTTTCATTTTTTTTGGATGAAGGGGGCTTATATTAGAATAAGAGCATTCAGCAAGAATCTAAAATAACAAGAGAACCACCGATAACCATCCGCCCTTGGGCCAGACTCTGAGTTAACCACCTTCAGGAAGCAGTATAACTCGCTAATCCTAAACTGGGCATAATTGAGCCAACAATGGTTACTGCAACACTCTCATCACCCTAGCCTAATGCAAGAGTCTTACTAAAGTAAAAACAAAAACAAAAAACAAAAACAATAGTCTGAACGTGAAACAAAACATAACAAGCAATAATAAAATAAGCACCACCGTGGAACTTCTTCACCCGCAACTTCACGAACACATCAAGTGGGCCTAGGAGCTGAGGCCCGCCTCCTCCCCGTTTTTTGTGTTGTCCAGTGCCATCTCCTCTCCTGAGTTGTTTTCCTCTGCCGGATCCTTCCAGACTCTCCTGCGCTTCTGATCAACCAAGACCTCCCCTGCACCGCTCCTATTCTCTTCCTTTGTGTCACTCCTTTTTGTCTCAGTTGTACTCCCCATACTTCCATGTCTCATAGTACCTTCATCATCTTGCTGAACCCTCCTGTGATGACTCAGACCTCCCTGTTTATCCATCAACCACTTACCACCCCTTGTGGGGCTAATCTCCCCCCCCCCCCCCCACTCTGAGATCAGCACTAAAGTTTTCTCCAAAACGAGATCTTCCACATATTTTAATGGGCAAAATTTCTCAGAGTGCCCCATAATCCACAAATGAAACAGAAGCTTGGTAACTTTTCATATTTAAAATCTACCCAGTGTCCTTCCCCTCCCTTAGTCAAAGTAGAACCATTATTTAGGGCCCTTCTCACATCCATCTTTATCCTAACCCTCAAGTAAGAACTCCATTTTTCCTTAAAGTGACTCTCATCAAAACTAATAAATTCTCCAATATAGTTACC